TTTTGAGAACCCCCTCAATTGTCACTGTCCTCAAGGTCTTCTGAATGTCACTAAGCATGTGTGGGAAAGCCAGCCTTTCCTATCTGTAAAAGAACACATGGAGGAGGCCCAAAAAGGATCAACAATTGCCCTGCGTGGCTTCAGTAGCTCCAGCCATAACATTGTGTTATGGGGCCGTATTACAGAAACCTATGAACTTTAGAACTGCTGTGCTGTAATAGCTTCTGTCCTAAATTCAGTTCTAAATGAAGTTGTCATGGTGACTAAACAGATAGGATTTCAGAATGAAATTTCTGTAATACAGCCCCAGGTTCTGGTCCCCATCTTGAACTGCAAATTTCTCACCACCTGACAGGGTCACTATACAGTCACAGAGACTCCAACAGCTAGATAAGTGTCCAACAGCTAGATAAAAGAAAACCTGATGGCAGTTGGTGTTTCTGCGATGACTTAGGAAAACTCCATAACATCGTAGTATTTAACTATTACCCCCTACTGCACATTGAGGGACCTCATCAACCAGCTGGGAAAAGCCTGGATCGTTAGCATGCTGGATTTCATCAAGGACTACCAGTATGTGTCACTCATCCCTGACGTCAGATTCAAGACTGCTTTTTCCACATCCAGTAGGCAGTGGCATTTCTGAGTTCTCATGTTCTGCCTGCATGGAGCTTCACATATCAAAGGTTGATGGACACTGTGCTGAGACCATGTTAGAAATATGCCGCAGCCTACGGTTAGATCTGGATGATTTCACTGTCGACTTTGAGACGTGAGCCAAGCACCTTTTCCATTTGGGATGGGTTTTGAATACCAGCCAAGGGCACATTCCAACATTCCAACAACGCTGCCAAATGGCACCTAGCTCTGTCTGAAGCACAGCACCGCAACCACAGATGAAACATTCAAACAGTTAAAGGCTTAAGTTCTACACAACCCTGATTCCAGAAGACTTTCCTTGTGTAGAGAGATGCCTCCGTTATCGGATTTGGGGCCATTCTTTTACAGGATTTAGACAGGAAAGATTACAAAGCCCTCCTTATTAGCCACAAGCCTAGTTTGCCACAGTCAAAAGTGTAGCCTTAGCGATCAAGTGGGCTGTAGAAGAGTTAAGATATTACCTAACTGCTTGTATGTTTGTCCTAATCACTGATCATGTTCCCTTACAGTGGATGGTACAGGCAGAAGACACTGTCAGAGTGATGCATTTGTCTCTCTTTGCAGAATTATAATTTCCAGGTGGGGCATCGCACTGAATTAGAACATGGAAATGCTGATGGCCTGTCAGCATTCAGCATTCAACACCATCATCCCTCAGCAGCTGATTGGAAAACTGAGCCTGCTGGGCCTGAACACCTCCCTTTGTAACTGGGTCCTGGATTTCCTGACCAAGAGACCTCAGTTAGTCAAGATAGGTAATAACATCTCCAGCACCACCACACTGAGCACCGGTGCCCCTCAGGGCTGTGTGCTTAGTCCGCTGCTGTTTACCCTGCTGACTCATGACTGTACTGCAAAGTACAGCTCAAACCACATCATCAAGTTTGCTGATGACACGACTGTGGTGGGTCTGATCAGCAAGAATAATGAGTCAGCGTACAGAGAGGAGGTGCAGCAGCTAAGTGGTGCTAACTGGGGCTAACTGACTGGTGCGGAACCAACAACCTGTCTCTGAATGTAGACAAAACTAAGGAGATGGTTGTTGACTTACGGAGAGTGTGAGGTGACCACCGCTCACTTAACATCGCTGGCTCTGCTGTGGAAATCATCAGGAGCACCAAGTTCCTCGGTGTCCACATCACAGAGAACCTCACCTGGTCCCTCAACACCAACTTAAAAGCCAAGAGAGCCCAGCAGCGCCTCTACTTCCTGCGGACACTGAAGAAGGCTCATCTCCTCCCTCCCATCCTCACTATGTTCTACAGGGGGACTGTGGAGAGCATCCTGAGCAGCTGCATCATCGCCTGGTTTGGGAATTGCACCACCTCTGACCGCAAGACCCTACAGCGTATAGTGAGGACAGCTGAGAGGATCATCAGGGTCTCTCTCCCCTCCATCATGGACATCTACACCACACGTTGTATCCGCAAAGCCACCAGCATTGTGGACGACCCCATCCATCCCTCACATGGACTTTTTTCACTGCTGCCGTCTGGCAGAAGGTACCGGAGCATCCGTGCCATCACTGCCAGACTCTGCAACAGCTTTGTTCCTCAAGCAATCAGGTTTTTAAATTCACAAGGACTGAACTAAACCACCCCCCCCACACACACACCTCTTTTGACACACTACTTGCACTATCTGGAACACTGCTGCTAATACTGTGTTTACATGGTTTTACTACCTCAGTAACTGCTGTGCTCATGTATGTTTACTGACTGTGTAAACTTGCAGATCACAGCATGTTAAATATCTCTGCGCCTTATTTCCACTACCTCATGCACAGAAATGAGTGCTGTGTCGGTGCTGCACTGTCCTGTCTGTTTACTGTGTCTAATGTCTGTTTAATTTATTGTATTTATTGTATTGTTTCTAGCTTAATTTTTTGTTTGCACACTTATGTCTGCACATTCGCACTTTGTACTTTTTGTTCCTTGTTGCACCTTGTTCCTGGAGGAATGTAATTTCACTCCACTGTGTATTTGTACATAGATGGAATGACAATAAAAGCCTCTTGACCTGACTTGCTGCCCACTGGGGTCGGGGTCAGTTCTGGGGGGCAGATTAAGCAGCCTGAGGAAACACAAGTATGAGCCTCCCTAGATTTTCCACCTGCTCTATGTGCAGACGCAGTGCGGAGTGTCCCTACCATGCACAGCTGGCGGCTGCTGATGGACCACAGCTGAATTCAGACAGACGGAGGCATAAAAATACCTTCCCACCTCTTTTTTATACTCTCCAGTATAAATTCATCAGTTCTCATTGAACTCTTGGTCTCTGTGTGTGGTTAGCCCAATTCAATGGTTCCATTTACACAAACTTTTTTGGACAGCACAGGGCCCTATATGTGAGGCGCTAACTACGTTTAACAGTAGGAATATTATACCAACATTCAAACATTCCAAATGCAAAGGCCACATTGAAATCAACTGTATACCTATCATCTGCTTGCTGGTCAGTGAAACAATGACAGAAAATTGGATGCAAATACACTATATTGCCAAAAGTATTCGCTCATCTGCCTTCACATGCATATGAACCTGAGTGACATTCCATTCCATAGGGTTTAATATGATGTTGGCCCACCCTTTTAGCTATAACAGCTTTAACTCTTCTGGGAAGGCTTTCCACAAGGTTTATGGGAAGACCATTCTTCCAGAGGTCTTGAGGTCTGACACTGATGTTGGACGAGAAGGCCTGGCTCACAGTCTCCGCTCTAATTCATCCCAAAGGTGTTCTATGGGGTTGAGGTCAGGACTCTGTGCAGGCCAGTCAAGTTCTTCCACACCAAAGTCACTCATCCATGTCTTTACAGACCTTGCTTTGTGCACTGGTGCGCAGTCATGTTGGAAGGGTCTTTCCCCAAACTGTTTCCACAAATTTGGGAGCATGAAATTGTCCAAACTCTGTTGGTGCTGAAGCATTAAGAGTTCCTTTCACTGGAACTAAGGGGCCAAGCCCAACTCCTGAAAAACAACCCCATGCCATAATCCCACCTCCACCAAACTTTACACTTGGCACAATGCAGTCAGACAAGTACCGTTCTTCTGGCAACCGCTAAACCCAGACTCGGCCATCAGATTGCCAGACAGAGAAGCGTGACTCGTCACTCCAGAGAACACATCTCCACTGCTCTAGAGTCCAGTGGCGGCACTTTACACCACTGCATTCAACGCTTTGCATTGCGCTTGGTAATGGAAGGCTTGGATGCAGCCGCTCGGCCATGGAAACCCATTCCATGAAGCTCTGTATGCACTGTTCTTGAGCTAATCTGAAAGCCACATGAAGTTTGGAGGTCTGTAGCGATTGACTCTGCAGAAAGTTGGCAACCTCTATGCGCCTCAGCATCCACTGACCCCGCTCTGTCATTTTATGTGGCCTACCACTTTGTGGCTGAGTTGCTGTCATTCACGCAGAAAGGTAATGTAAATTACAGTTGAAAACTAATGTTACAAAGTGTAAACTTGATAAAAGGAAGCATGAAAGACAGGCCTGGAATATTCCACCTCCTCACATAATTCTTGTTATTATCTCACAAAAACATAAAAATAGTTAAATGTGTAATACTTAGATGAATATATGAAGGACAAAACATGATGTCTTAACATGAAAAATTATTAAATGAGCAATTACATTAGGCAGATATCTTGCGTAATGACTTATTTTTGTAACTGAAGAAAAGAACTATGGCTGTGAGGTTTTGCTTATGCTGTCTGCTAGATAGGCTGGTCAACTGTGCTGCCCTAAATTGAATCTATTAGTGTCCAAAATAATTAATCTACTTTTATTGAGAATCACAGCCTTATAATTCAGTTCACATATGCACAATCAAAAATTCTCAATCAGTAAGGCCTGCAAAATAGTGGATGGTTCTCACCCACCCTTCTCCAGAATCTTTGCTCCCTTTCTATCTGGCAAAAGATAATGCATCTCATAAATCTCACAGAGAGACACTTAGGATTACACTTAGGAGCAGTGCTGCCTGTTTTTTTTCTCTGGAATCAGGTTAGGGGGCTGACCCTCTTGTCCTCAGCTTCTATATAAGCACTTGTAAAGAAATGTTTCCTTTCACAAGAGACTTAGGAGGTTAGGGCAAGTAAGCTTTAAAAGACCTGATGATTTGTTCACTGTCAAACATTTCAATTTTTCTGATGACACATATTCTCTAACATTATATACACTGCAATAGTTTGTTATTATTTACTGTTATTATTGTTAAAAAAAAGAAAAAAACATAATAGGATATGTTTTAATATGGGATTAATATTGAATTTTGCCATCTTTTTCAAGGTTTAACAGCCTCACTCAAGAAAAGTCTGTGGTACTAAAAGGAGCAAGTGATGAATTTCTCAACGTACAGCAACATCACCCAGACTAAAGTGAAGGACCCGTACACAATAACTGTGACCAAAAATGTGATTGTTGTGGCTTTGTACTTCTCCATCAACTACATTAATGGCACACTTGTCCACACTTTCCTCAAGCATGAGATCTTCAATGAGAATCCTCGATACATCCTTTTTATCCATATGGTCATCAACGACATGATCCAGCTAACAACTGCTGTGTTGCTTAATCTCATTTCCTACATTTTTTATACAATCAACGTGTCTTTCTGTGTCTTCCTTTTAATGATTGCAGTGTTCACCACCCTCAACACTCCACTAAATCTGGCCGGGATGGCTGTGGAGCGCTACATTGCTATTTGTAACCCGTTACGCCACACACAGATTTGCACTGTGCGCAGGACATACGTCTTAATAGGACTGATTTGGGTCTTGGGGGCCATCACCATTCTTCCTGATCTGTTCTTTCTGTTAGCCACTGAGCCTTTATCATTCTTTCTTTCTAACATCTACTGCAGTCGAGATTCCATGTTCCGCCATCCATACATGGTGGAGAAGAGAAACATTTCACACTTGGTCTATCTGTCTTTTGTATGGCTTACTTTGGTCTATACCTACTTCAGGATCATATTTACTGCCAAGGCTACTGGTGCAGACGCCCGGAAGGCCCGCAATACCATCCTCCTGCATGGCCTGCAGCTTCTGCTATGCATGTTTATGTACATTGGCCCACTAATCGAGAGTGTGTTGATTTCTCTCTTCCCCATGCTTTTACATGATGTACGATTTACAATTTATATCTTTGTCCACATTTTGCCCAGGTTTATAAGTCCTATTGTGTATGGTTTGAGGGATCAGATGTTCTGTGCATATCTGAAAAGACACCTGTGGTGTATTATGCTGAAAGAAAGTAAAAAAAGACAAACACAACCCTCCTAAATGAACCACCACTTGCCAGTGTGGCTTTCAAAAGTAAGATTATTTGAACATGATGAAACTGTAAAGAAAACATCAAATTTGTATTTGTATTTGTATGTAGCAATGTTTCAGAGGATTTTGTGTATCCTTGGTAATGTTTTGCAGTGGTGTACACATTTGTTACTGAAAGAAAAAAAGAATATAATTTTACATTTGTATAGGCACTAAAACAAGTGTAAAATGATGCTTTAAAGGTGCTTCAAAGACTCTAAGCCCATTAAATACAAAAAGAAGAACTTTAAGAATATGAACACTGCATCTTTCCAGAGTGTATATAAAAACATAGACTAGATTTAAAGGCAGAGCTGTAATTAAATTTTTCCTTGGATGTCAACAGCATAACTATACTGTTCAAATTATGCGAACAGTAATGTATGGAGTCTTCAGCACTGATATCATAAATATGTGATTAAAACTGTGTTTCTGTCAGTTATTTTATATAGTTATTAGTATTTCTTTATAATATAAAATTATACCTACCTTTTACAATCAACTGTAAATTGTTAATCACACTTTTTTTTTTTTTGCCCTGTCTGGTGGTAAATTTAGTAAAGAAAGAAAAGAAAAGTTTAATTGTTTCAAATGAACATGTCTGGATATTTGGGGTATGTATATAAAATGAATATCCAAACATTTATAATTAAAAACAATAATTATATATGATGACACATCCCACAGCCCAGCTCAGCCTCTGGGCCGTGGACAACAAGTGGGCCATGAAACAGCTCTAGTGGTCCGTCACCCTATACTTAGTCCGCTTTAAAGTGAACCCACTGCTCGTGGGAACTCATTTTATGACACGATTCACACATATTGAGAGTGCAACATCAAAGCATGCTGTAATCGTCTTCTAGCAGCATCTCATGTCCACATAATCTGAATGTATTTTTGGCCAAGCAAGTGCGACCTGATTGGTAAATTCCAATTGAAAAACTAGTCAAAAAGCAGATATCAGTTGGGGTAGGGCAGGGGTGATGACATTAACATAATGAAATGGCCCAGAAAGCTAGGTAAATATCACCAGATGTTTCTATTGTGTTTTTTTTTGGTTGTTGTTTTTGTTTTTTTTGAACACCATTACAAATTTTCAAAGGTTCATTACAAGATTTCTGTCAGTGAACTCATGGAAGCGCAACAAGACAGAAAACACTTCTAACCAAAAGAAACATCAGTGCTTGTCTCACATTTGCAAAAAAAGCCCCTCCGGAATCTGTAGGACTTTTAGCATAGCGTTCTATGGACAGACCAGTCCAAAGTGAAACTGTGGAGGAGGTGGCAAGGCCGAGCATCACACACAGGACAGATAGCCAGTCAGGCTAAACCAGCGGGCTAAGTTCAGTCAGCTTCAGATGTGGTTACCACCCCAGGGGAGGTGGCTAGAGAAGTGCCAGGCCCTCACAGAAAAAAAAGCCTCCTCAGACTGTAACTGCTCATTAAAGAGGGCCAAAGAGCATCCATAAACTCCCTTTACAGCTCCGGCTCACCATAGTAGAAGCTGGGGTATGCTGGCAGTGTGGAGACAGACTTGATGGTATTTGGGGGATTTCAAGCCTCTCAATGCAGCCATGGTCAGCAGAGTCTTCTGTAACATAGGGGTTGAGGCAGGTTGCATGCATGGACTGGCTTTATTAAACTCTAATCCAACACAGGCAAATGTATAATGCAAAATCTAGTAAAACAAGGTCTAAATACAGAAACACGATAAAAACAAACCATGGCTTAACTCTCAGATAATGGCACTTGTCAATTAGCAGGTACAACAAAAGGGTTCATATATGTGTGCCTAATGTCCTTTGAATGGGCTGCAGGTGTGTGTAGTTATAGAGGGGTGGAGCCAGGGATTAACAAGAGTTGAAATGAGCCATTCTAGACCAGGCCAGTCCAAAGTGTCTCCCCAGGGGGAGACCTCTTGTTAAACTGAGACTAAGAGGTTGTGCCATCTGTTAGATTGTCTGCGCAACTCAGTGTTAAAAAGCTGAACTTCTTAGGCTGTGTTCAGACTGCAGAAAAAAATGGATTTGTTTCTCAAATCAGATTTTTTGAGATGACTGTCTACACTGTTATTTGCATATGATCAGATCGGATTTGTGTGTCCAGACATCACCAGCCTATCTGCGTGGGTTGCTATGCTAATCACATAGGCATCAGTAACTACGTAGCTAGTAGCTATGCTGGCAACACGGATTTCAAACGCGGAGGCAGGGAAGATGGAGATGCATCTTCTCGCTCACCAAACTCTTCAAAATTCTCTGGCATAAGCATGAATCTTTGGCACCTTCATGAATCCCAGCACTTCCATCACTCTGGATTTGACATTGTCATTGTTTATCACATTGCGAGTGATGCAAAAGACATTTGGAAATCTGATTTGAGTTGCCAGAACATCCAGACTGAGATGCATCTGTAAGAACCCGACTGGAATCGCATTTCCAACCACCTTCAAATGTAGTTTGGATCCAATTAGCAAAAATCTGATTTCATGTGGTCTTTTTCTGTCCAGACTATCAAAAATCAATCTGGATACAATCTGGATATACCAAAATTTGGATTTGGATTTAATTAACCCATCCTTATTTAGAATCACAGCCTTATAATTCATAGCTGATTTCTCATATGAATAATCATAAACACTGCAGGAGTAAAGCCTCAAGCCTAGTGGATGGATCCCACACTGCAAAAATGATAAAATACAAGAAATAAGCACTGAATTTGAGTAGAATATAACTTATTATATAGTATTAGTGCAATTATCTGTCCATGCAGCGAGATAATTGTACTTTTCAAGAAATCTTAAAATAAGTTGGTTCCAGTCCAGAAATAATTAGGATCTGATAAGTGTTCAAAGGTTTGAAATAAGTAGAAAATGCTGTTTTTTAATCAAATTACTTAAGATCAGACATGCTACAGTACAGCAATAGGTAAAATACACTGAATATTAGCAAATGTTTTGCATTCTAAATTTTTATCACATTGAAAAAATGAAGGCCAAAGAATAAAAAATAAATCACTAATTTAAGCGGAAATTACTTAATACTAGTGGAGTATGATTATGATGTTGAATGATATTGTATGAAACAAGTTGGTTTGTCTTGAAATAGGTAGGCATAAACCCATATTTAATTTAAAACAAGTCCTTAATCTCAGAGCATATCTTAAAATAGGAGAGAGGATTTTACTGAAATCACAATCAGGACTGCAAGTGAATTCTCCCTCAACATTTACTGACAACAGAACAGAGAAAAATTGAGTGAGAGAAAGACGGAGAGAGAGTGAACACTTTGGACCTTTCAAGAACAAAAAAAACATTGTACTCTTTGAACATCAGAGAGAAAATATTTCTGAATGGAAAAACTAAACCCAATAACAGAAAATAAAAAACGTCAAGAGAGGAAACTGAAGAAAAACTGGATGTTCTAGCTAGCCGAATCAGGTACAGGTGCACAACAACAAATGACTGAAAGACATGAGGCAAACAGAAAGATAAAGTGACATTAAATTTCTAAGGAGCTGGGGTCACCTAAGTTTGAGCAGTGAAAATCAAAGTGTCTTTTCATTTCCTGGTAGGTGAAGCATGCTGGGCCACTGTCATTGAATTAAAATGTATTTTTTGAAATAGGCTTTATGTAAGATTCTTAAATCAAGCAACTGAACTTGAGTTTGTCTCAGTGAATCTTGAAACAAGTTTTTTAGTGAAAGACAATGGTACAAATTGGTACTCTAACTAAAGTATTTAATTCTAATATATTTAATGAATTTATTCTTAACGAATTTAACTAATGTATTTAATTATAATGCATGTAATGTATTTATTCTTAATAAATTTAAGAATATAGCATGAATTTAAAGATAAATATCTTTTAAAACAAGATAATTCATCTCATATTTCCAGATCTAAGATTTTAAATCTTGGCAAGCACATAGCAATTTGCAGCTCACCCACCCCTCAAAAGACTCTTTGCCCCGCCCCTTCTGTCTGGAAAAGATACTACATCTCACAGCGACACACTTGAGATTACACTTAGAAGCAGTGTTGCTTGTTTATTTCTCTGGAATCAAGTAAGGGGGCTGACCCTCTGGTCCTCAGCTTCAATATAAGCACTTGCTAAGAAATGTTTCCTTTCATAGCATACTTAGGAATTTAGGACAATCAAGCTTCACAACACCTGATGATTTGTTCATTGTTAGACTCTATAACATCTTAAATTTCCTGCTTATATTGTATAACTATATGTACTGCAACAGTTTATTTATTATTGTTATTACAATCCTATGAAGATGATCCAAAGCAAGTGACTACTGCATTTAATAGAATATGCTGTAATATAGGATGAATGTTATATGTTATCATATTTCTCACTGTTTAACAGCCTCATACAAGGAAGGCAGTCTGTAGTGCTAAAAGGAGCAAGTGATGAAGTCCACATACAGCAACAGCTCCCAAACTCAAGGGAGTGACTTGTACTTGATAGCTGTGACCAGGAATGTGATTGTTGTAGCTTTGTACTTCTCCATTAACTACATTAATGGCACGCTTGTCCACACTTTCTTCAAGCATGAGATCTTTAATGAGAACCCTCGATATATCCTTTTTATCCATATGGTTGTGAACGACATGATCCAGCTAACTATTACTGTGCTGCTTCATGTCATTGCCTACGCCTTTTATACAATCAATGTCTCTTTCTGTTTCTTCCTGATATTGACTGCAGTGTTCACCACCCTCAACACTCCACTAAATCTGGCCGGCATGGCTGTGGAGCGCTACATTGCTATCTGTAACCCGTTACGTCACATGCAGGTTTGCACTGTACGCAGGACATACGTCCTAATAGCCCTGATTTGGGTCTTGGGTGTCCTCACCATGCTTCCTGACCTGTTCTTTATCCTGGCCACTGAGCCTTTATCCTTCTTCCTTTCTACCATCTACTGCAGTCGAGATTCCATGTTCCGCCATCCATACATGGTGGAGAAGAGAAACATCTCACACTTGGTTTATGTGTCCTTCGTGTGGCTCACTTTGTTCTACACCTACTTCAGGATCATGTTTGCTGCCAAGGCCACCGGTGCAGATGCCCGGAAGGCCCGCAATACCATCCTTCTGCATGGCCTGCAGCTCCTGCTGTGCATGTTCACTTATATTGGCCCACTAATTGAGAGTGTGTTCATTTCTCTCTTTCCCATGTTTTTCAATGAGCTCAAATTCACAACTTACATCTTTGTCTACATTTTGCCCAGGTTTTTAAGTCCTGTTGTGTATGGTTTGAGGGATCAGATGTTCTGTGCATATCTGAGAAAGTATCTATTGTGTATTATGCTGAAAGAAAGGCATAAGCGAAAAACACAACCCTCCTAGTATGTTAAAATATACAAATTGTATATAATTTTTAAACCAACAAATGGTGAAGAAAACACCACATTTATATGTTCTTTGTGTATCGTTTTGTACATAATGTGTCAAATGTGACAACTGCATTTGTTACTGTATGAAGGAAAGGACAAATGAATATAAATGAATATATTAATATGCACAAATTAACTAAAATATCTTTGCTTTAGCATAGAAAAATGTGAACAAGCATGTGAACAGACAACAAAGAGAGAGAGAGAGATTACTGAAGATGTTTTAAAGGTGGACACTGAGAACAAGAACTATAGGAAGAAAAAACAAAACTACAAGAGCCTTTACACATTAAGGCATAACATCATAATATGGATTTGTGTAAAGAGTACTCTTCTATTGACATTTATGCAGCTTTGTTTTTGTAAACTATTCTTTCATAATACTATAAATTGGTTTTACCAAAACACTTACCGCATACAATTTAAGAGTAAATATCACAACGGACAGTTTCTGGTCTGTTTTTCACCATCACATTGTGGATCAAAACAATTTAAGTGATTTTGCTGGCAGTGGATTAGTTTAGTTTAGGAGAAATAAAGCATCAGGCAATGTCTAAAAGCTACAATACACACAATTATGTTCTGATCTCTAATACATACATATATAGCTGTACTTAATAAACTGCCCTACCTTCTGCATTCAGTTGTAAGCTGTAATCAACACACTGTAATTTACTGTTGTACTAAAGCTTTTGAGCCAGGTTTCTAGTGGTTTCTTTCATAAATTATATGGATAGGCAGGTGCTGCCTCAATCTCATATCTATTATACATACAGTGCCCTCACAAATATCAACACCGCTGTTAATCACGATCAAAATGGGCTGTAAACAAAGTCTTACTTATCTTTTTGATCTTTCATTCATAATACTAGCAAAAATCTAATCTTTATTTACTGCATAATGTTTCAAAGAAAAAGCTAAATCTTTTTTTTTTAATCTCTGTGTGCCACATTTATTGGCACACCTTTGTTTGATAATTCATGCAGCCTCCCTTTGCAAAGATAACAGCTCTGAGTTTTCTTCTAAAATACTTGATGAGACTGGAGAACACCTGGCAAGTGATCTGAACTCATTCCTCCATACAGAACCTCTCCAGATCCTTCACATTCCGAGGTGCACATTGTGGACTCTCCTCTTCATCCCACAGGTTTTCTATGGGGCTGAGGTCAGGGGTCTGGGGTGGCCATGGCAAAACCTTGATTCTGTGGTCAGTAAACATTTTTGTGTTGATTTCGAGGCATGCTTTGGATCACTGTCCTGCTGGAAGATCCAAACTATGACCCAGTTTAAGCCTTGTGGTACAAGAAGTCAGGTTTTGACTTTGTTTCAGTATCTGTGATTCTGTAAAGCAGCTTTTCTTCCAATACCCTGGACAATTATTTGGGTACATGGCTTCACAGTTCCACAGATCTGTAGGTGCTTGAGTTTGTCTGTCCTTGACAGCAGAGGCCTCCTTCTGGCAGCCCCCCACACAACTTGTGGATATATACGTGTTGTTTGTGGTTTGGATGATGTTGTGACCCCAAGACCTAACTAATTTCTGCAATTCTCCATCTGTGATCCTTGGACATTCTTTGTCAACTCAACATCTCCAGTTGTTTTAAACTTTGTAATTATTACTCAATGTGGAAATGGCATTTTTAACTGTTCAGCTATTTTTTGTAGCCATTTCCTCATTTGTGCAGCGCAACAACCTTTTCTCATACTTTACTGCTGTTTTCTCTGGTCTTTCTTATAACAATGAGTGACTGAGGGAAATTGGCCTGCGTTTCATCTCATATATATTCCCTAGGGAACCAGAAACGCTGACCATTTAAATGTTCCTAGTCAATCAGGTGAACTCTAAAACATAAAATACGATTTCACTCTTGAGATTTAAGAAAAATATTTATTTAATGACAAGATTTAGTTTTTTTAACCATTATACCTTAAATAAAGATTAGATTGTTGTTGCTAAGATTTTGTATGAAAGATCAAAAGGATAAATAATTTTATATATATATATATATATATATATATATATATACATACATACTGTCAGTAGTCTCTTAAAAAGGGTCAGAATGCCCTGTGTGACTGACTACTTGTCTGTGTGTGAATTAAGTCTGTATCCACAGTGTCCACTGTCTACAGTAGTCTCTACACACGCCCTTAAGAATTTACAAATACAGACATGTCCAGCTCCTGAGTGGGTTAAACCACACAACCAGAGCGGCTTTCTTTTTTGGAGCTGAGGCCGGAGGGCAGTCTGGCGGCCTGGCTGTGACAGTGGGACCAGCAGAAGGAGGCCATCCTCTCCATGCCGGCTGTGCCACCACCACATGTTTGGCCAAGTCCATGTGGGCTGGCTTGTGACGGTCCACATAGACACTGTTAGGAACACCTCCTACATCTACCTTGAGGAACTTGTCTCCACATTCCGAGAACCCGGAACAGGCCATCATAGACAGGGTGATGGGATGCACGTGGAAGCCCCACATGGCGCATCCCGGGCAATGCTGATGACAGGAACTGTACTACAGTAACTGACTGAAGTAACCAATTCTGCACCCACTGACCGCCAACGAGAATCAAGTCTTTTCTTGATAACACAGCAAGCCACGATGCCAGCGCTAGTAGTGACCTCAATTAACATTGAAGGATACAATATAACAAAGGCTGATGTGCTTGCCAGCCACTGCAAAGGATCAGACATCGTCTTTATGCAGGAGACCCATTTGGGCCCAATGAGCAAACGGGCAAAATTAGCAGGCATGACACTGGTAGCTGAAATCCTTCATCCAAAGTATGGATCAGCCATATGTCAGTGACATTTATACCAACAGCTCAGACAAAAACATGGAGATTATCACCATCTGCATACCAGAGATTTCTGCCACCTCTCTGTACAAACCACGTGCCAGCCCTTTTGTATGGCCCGACCTACCATCCAAATGCAGAAAGAAGTATGCTGTTGTGAACTCTCACTACACAATGTGGGGCTATGACTCTATTGACAGTGATGGTGAACTAATCGAAAGCTGGATGGAAAATATACAGGTGGAGTTAATACACAACGCTAAACTCCCAAAGTCCTTTAACAGCGGCCGCTGGAAAAGAGGTTTCAACCCAGACCTGTGTTTCACCAGCCAGAGACTAGCACATCTGAGCGAGAAAGCAGTGCTACAACCGCTCTCAAAGTCACAACACTGCCCAATCTCAATCACTATAAAGCCTGCCAGAACAAAGTCTAAAGTCCCCTTTAGATGCTGTTTCAACCTCAAGAAGGCCAAATGGGACTACTATAGAGAGGGAATGGAAAATGCTCTTCTGGACGTTGAACCCTCACCTGACAACTATGACAAGTTTGTCCAGGCTATGAAGAAGACAGCATGTGCTCACATCCCTTGCAGATGCCGGAAAAAATACAAAGCTGGCGTCACAGAGGAATTGTCACAGCTTCTGGAGTAATATGAAACAGAGTTTGAAAAGGACCCGTTTTCAGATACCACTCACGAATTAGGAGAGGCACTCATAGAACTACTGGGAAAGGAGAGGCAGAGAACCTGGCAAGACCTCATATAAAACACCAATATGTCTCAGAACAGCAAAAAAGCCTGGGCCACCATCCACAAACTAAGTGGAGATAAGATCACACCACCAACCATACCGGACATCACACCAAACCAGGTCAGGAGCCACCTGGTAGCCAATGGGGAATGAATAGGCCGGCACAGGGCTAAAGGATACCATCACTATACAATCATCCCAGGAAACCAACATGTCTATACTAACCAAGCCTTTCACTATGGAAGCGTTTGAAGCAGGACTTGGCACCATGAAGCTGGGCAAAACGGCAGGTCCTGACAACATAATGACTGAGATGATAACTCACCTAGGCCCAGTTGCCAAACTATGGCTCTTGAATATGTTTAACATATGCCTTCAGACCCAGTATATTCCAGCTCACTGGAGGAAAGCTATTACCATCCCCCTGCTAAAACCAGGGAAAGACCCCAGCTTCCCAAAAAGCTACCGGCCCATCTCCCTACTATGCATCACCTACAAGCTGTTTGAGAGACTTCTCCTTACATGTCTATCCTTGCAGATAGATGCCCAGCTAATCGACGACCAGGCTTGCTTTAGACCCGGAAAGTCATGCACAGGACAATTACTGAACCTAACCCAATACATCGAAAACGGATATCAAAAGAAGCTGATAACCACCGTCATTTTTGTCGACTTGACAGCAGCCTATGACACCGTTCAACACAGGCTGCTGATCAAAAAACTATACGATATGACAAGCGATGCTAAACTATGTAGTTTCTATCAGATGCCTCCTGAGCAACTGGATGTTCTACGTCACACTCAACAAGAAAAGCAGATGGTTCCACCAGACTAATGGGCTGCCATAGGGCAGTGTCTTGGCACCTCTCCTGTTCAATGTGTACACCAACGACCAGCCCCTACTGGAAGGATGCAGCAGGTTCATCTATGCAGATGACCTAGCCCTGGCAACACAGCAGCATGGCTTCCCAGAAGCTGAGTCAACCCTGGAAAAAGGCCTCTCAGATATGTCAACATACAAATCCTGGGATGACCCTCAAAAAACAGGGAAGCAAAACTGGAAGAAAAACGGGGAAGAAAACAACCAGTATCCAGTATACCTCGGAGTAACCTTAGACCATACCCTGAGTTCTAAAGAACACGTTATGAAAACAAGAGCCAAGATCTCCACCAAAAACAGCCTGCTACGATGATTAACAAGCTCTAAGTGGGGGGCCCACCCAAGCACGCTGCGAACAACAGCATTAGCCCTGTGTTTTCCTGCCGCTGTGTACACCTGTCCAGTATGGAGCAGATCCTGCCACACACACAGAATCGACCCTATCCTCAATGAGACCTGCAGCATAGTGACTGGGTGCCCTAAAACAACTCCAGTACCCTGTCTCTATGCTCTTTCAGGCATCA